CTAGACCATTTTATTTTACACGAAATGCAACAGGTCCACGTCACTCCGAATATGACTTTGTTTATTCTGAAATAAAGAAATGTAATGTATCTTATTCGATAAATATAAAGTTAATTACACGCGAAAACAGGATGTAATTAACACGAAGGCTCGACTATACTATACATTGCGGCGATGTTTTCGTCTGGTTCCGGAAATTTCGGTGGACTTTTTCAAAGCGACGGAGAACGTAATCTTGAGTGACATAGGCGTGACGTCACGCTTCCAGAAAGCGGAAATCATTTGAAAATTCCTGGTTCTTGCGCAAGCGAGAATGATATCTCGGCGTTTTCGTTGCAATCACAGCGCGGGGACTGTTGACATTGCCATCACCGTTCTTCCATTGTCTTTCACACTTGCCGATGAGTAATTTCAGGATAATCACCGTGAATCTCGTTGTTCGCCCATTAGTCGCGTTAACGAATCGCAAGAGCAAAGGTAGTCAGCCGTGGAAATTCGTGGTGGCATGACACGCGTCACGTATGCTCCCAGCCAATATTTCTCCGCATCCGTCCATCGGGGAATTATCATTCCGACACTCGGTGACCTCGTGTCTATCTCGACAATTCAATAATCTGTTGTCTCCGTGGCCGGATTTCGCGAAGATCCGCTTCGACCGATGATTAAACGAACGAAACCCCGTCATTCATAAGTAGATTGCCGATTTGTCGCATTTGCGACAAAAATCGACAGGTCAAATACAAAACTGCGAAGACTTTGGAAGAATTTGTGAACATTGTTACACTGTTATCAATTTGTTACAATTATTTGATCCCGTAAGCGGAAATGACGAGTCTGGTACGCAAACATTTGCTGTGCCAAACTTGAATTAAAATGTTTAAACACCATATAAATTTCACCAAACTGTTACAAACAAATTATTTCAATATTTACACATTCTCTTGTCTTTTTTCGATCTAAAATTGTGTCATAGTTATAATGAATTATTAGAAAATGAAAAATATTAAAAAGGAATTGAGACGGTTTGTAAATTTTCTTCGCAAGAATTTCAATTGTGTTAAGAACATTTTTCTCAATTCCACTGTAACTAAAGAAAGGATATCTTTCAATTTTTATTTAATATTAGCATTACTTTATTTACCCATTTAAATATCTTGCAAACTGTTGATGATACTGAAAAATGTTTCAAATAAAAGTTGAATAGCTTCCGAGGGCCCACAATCCGATATTAGTAAGATTTCTCGTGGTCGACGCGTAAAGAAGATGCGAAGGTTAATTTTTCAACTAACCCGCGTTTCATTTTCTATAAACATCCCCCAAGTATGCGCGTAAGAATTTAACGCCTCCCTAACGAGCAGAAAGCACAGTAAAATCAAACTTTCAACGACTTCGGTGAAATTTCCATCTAGTGTGCGACCTGGTAGGTCTATCACCTTAAGAAACACGATTTCCGCTTCGTTCTCGGTTTCTTAAATTAGTACACAAAGACGTCGGTTTCCGGTGAATCAACATCGCCGAGAAAAACACGACCATTTAACAAAAAAATAAAAGCTAGCGAAAAGATACAGAACGTACGCGTTCCTTCTGACTCCTCTGTTTCGAAAAACGAAGGTCTTGGAGACTGTATTTGTTCGGATCAAAGATTGCGTTTCGCAATCGCAGCTGGTCGATGACTTTCGAAACCAACTAATATCTGTTTTATTTGCGGATCCATCCATTTGTCTTGAATACGAAATTAAACAGCCGTGTTTTATCTTCGCCGCTGTTTCTACAGCGTCGTTTAATTACTTTTGACAAGTCGTGCGTCGTTATTTAAAGGGGACTCTGTATCCCTAAAGATGCTACTGTTGCTAGTCAGTGTGGCGATACTGCGGATTGACTTATTTTTTTCTGGCAATTGTATCGTAACGATAAAACAAAGCAATCGTGCAGCGCCGCTTCTTGCGGATCGTATCGTACCCGTTTCGGAAGGTTATGGCACGATAAAAGATAAGTGCTATCACGGTAGATTTCGTGTTTAGGAGCACAATGGTAAAAGAAACGCTCGAAAATCGATAACTCTGTGACTAACAGCGTTGGGAGACTGGACGAGGGCGCTGAGCGCGTAACAACAATATTTAGTCCCCGAAAATAAGGATTGAAAGCGTAACGCGTTATCGTAACCTGGGCCGCGATAAATACCACCCGGCCTTGAAGTCATTCCAGACCGCGTGACGAAATTTCAACGACTAATATCCGGCAGAAGGCGAGTTTTTTCATCGCTCTAATGAAAAAAGTTGCACGGACGTCGGAGCGTGCGGGAAAAAATTCAAAAAGAACTACTAAAGCTGGAACGATCATCGGCGATCAATAATATGTTTCTTTCATTATCGAGTTAAGAAGATAATGGAGTTACGAAGCGTATTTTGAGATGTGACTCGAACGAGCGGCGACACGTCTCGATTTCTTCGCGGCAAACGCTGCGCGCGACAACTCCACGTTTTCTCACGGTCATGTCGGCTTGCGTGGGTGAGGTTGCATGCCCTTAGTTACCGACCGATTGTTTAAAGCGCGCCTCCTTCGGTTGCTAAGGAACGTTAAGGTAGGTCAAGGGCGGGTCGTTTGTACGCAACGAGCATCTCCGAAGAATCCACTGTTTAATCGACTGAAAACTCGCCGGATTCTCAACACTAGATCAATCGAGTGCTAACAATTAAGTTCCTGACATTGTTTATAATTTATATCGAAACAGAGAGAGGCCAGAGTTGGGTTTTATTGTAACATGAACACGAGTGCATTGACGGATTAGTTTTCCAAAAAAGTCGTCCTTGTGAAATGGAAAGTAAAAAGTACTGATGGTGTTTGAAGCTGATCTTTGAACATTTTTGGGAAAATTTATAAACGGATGTAGTTTACGCAGTGATTCATTGAAGATGTAGATCTTATATTGTACAATACTCTACAATACTCCTCGTAGAACCAGTTACAGTAAATTCTCCCGAATTGTCCTTCGTTTGTAAACAAAAATGGTAAATTTGGGAAGAGGAGATACGATTATTCGAGCCTTGCGCCTTGTTTTTATAGTTCTCGACTGTCAACAACTAAAAAAACGAGCTGCAAGTGCTTGAATAATTGTATCTCCTCTTCCCAAATTGTCCATTTTTGTTTACAAGTTGTAGGGCAATTGAAGAAAATTTACTGTAAATGTGAAACTAATTAATAAAAAACGTAGGGAATGTTGAAAAAAAGTTAACGATTAATTTCTTGTTTTATTGTACTTTAATGTAAGTTTTTTGTTCCAGATATCGGTTGAATTTATAATATTAAGAATAATATAATATTATTATTTTATTATTTATTAATATTATAATTTATATAATAAACTTACATTATTTCACATATTAAGTACACGTATGTCAATAAAACGTTGGAAAGTAAAAAAAGAAACAAAAATCTTTCACATTTTATCACTACTGCTGGACCTTATAATTATTTACTTCAAAGTTGCTATCTTCGAGAAGTTACGCGTTGCAATAATGGAAACGTTTAATACATTAAATCATTGCAATACAAAATATCGTTGATGTTTTCAGTTTGTGTAAATTTTTGTGTAAACAAATGTGAGGAGCATGTGAATTGTTCAGGATGTGCATGTAGGCGTGCATGTAAATGGCTAACAAGTTTTAATTATCATAACTAGCCCAAATGTTTGTCAATTGAATAACGAAAATTGAAATGCTCAGATGCTTCTGTATAATTGTTTGAATATAGGAAATATGGAAATATTGAGTACGTTTCGGATAATTTCAATGTTCGATTTTTGCAAGTTTTGCAGAGATGCTTGCGAAGCGAGTGGAAAATTTCAACGGGACATTGCAATCGACGCGATTAATAATGTGTTTCGTATGCTCGGGTGATGTAAAAGAGGTAATTACTGTTACAGATGTTGTAAACGCGCAATGGATTTGCATGTGTGACCGCGTGTCGCGGTTTAGGATGCCCACGTACGCGCTTATGTGGCCAGTGACGCAACGTTAAGTCACGAGGCCCCATTGCTCTTATCAGAACGGCAGTTCGACAATTTTCTAGAACGGTTCTACGACTCTGTAACTTTGTTGAGTGTTGCATCACCGACGCAAGCTAAACCACGAATGATTGTGAGTTCATGTCGAATGCATCTATGGTGAATCAGTCGAGTGACCAACAGGAATTACTAGGTCATTATAAATCCCATGAGTAACGTTTACGTGATTATTTTTTGAAATATGTTCTTGTGAATAAAAGAGCTGGCGTTTCTGATTCAGAAATTCATTGGAAATATCAAGAAGCAGCTCAGAAAATAATCTTACCCTTAAGTTACAATTCTATTAGTGTTGCAGCGAACCACGCGTAAGTTTAAACAAATTATTTTTTAATGCGTTTATTTTGAAAAACAAAATGAACACATGTCAGTGTCAAGAACGCTTATTTTTATATCCGATTTTTTAAATAAATTGTAATACCTTCACATTACTGGATTATTATTTATTTTTCGATGCATTATTTTAATATAAAATATCACAAGAAAGAAATATTTAATCAAACAAATGGAGTATCCATGTGACGTTGACATAAGGGTTCAACCTCAACTTTGTGGACGTATCTTCGACAATCTCTATTGTCAGGTTCATTGATCAAAAAATTCAAAAATGTTCTGACAATTTTCACATAACGATGTACATACCATGCATTGTTTCATAGTTGGTATAAATATAAGAGCATTCATCATTTTATGAATAATCGTGCGGTTCTTTGACAGACAGAAAAAAAGGAAGTACATTGTCGAGAACCGCGCAAATCTTTTGGCTAACCTATACTTTTTCACATATCGTTAACCCTTCTACCAGCTTCATCTAACATCTAAGATATCATCACAATTCGCTTTAACACGCCTAAATAATTTTTTCAAATCATATTCATAGCTCTGATCAACATTTTCGACCAGAGGTAGTGTTAAATAATGAAATATTTGAATAATTTACCTCAGAGTTGAAAACAACTTTGTCCACGATATCCAGTGAATTGCCCACAGTGGCGATGTAAGTTGCGCCGGTACTGTAGCAGCAAGCGCCGCGCCTGCGCGCCCGGTACCCGTTCTCTCCCACCACCGGCGCCTAGCCGTCGGGTTAATTCGAGGCGGCGACCGTGGCTTCAGTCGTTTGCTGCACAATGGCGCGATCGGTTTGTGCTTGTTTCTTCTGCTGCCGCCGTCGTTTCTGAGCGGAGGGTCGGCCCAAAACGTTGGACCGTCCGTTGCGCGGGATTCAAATCTCTCTGCACAGTCTCCCTCGTTCGTAACCGCTCAGCTTTTCAGTTTCTCTTCGAGTGACCGACCAACCCGCGATCCACCGCGACCGAAGAGAAACTTCGATCGCGACACGAACAGCAAGGACCGTGAAGAGACAACTACCAGCCACCATCCAGGTAGAGCAGCCAACAGGAAGCAGCCAGGTTTGATCCGAGGCGCGCGCTATTCGAAAAACCAATACGCCCGGAACCATCCGGGGAATTCGCTTTTCGAGCAGACACGGCGGTTTATCAACAACGTCTTTGGGGGGAATTCGGTTGATGACCGTTCTTCTCCATACCAACCCCCCGTTCAGGAACGTACGGCGACAACAGGAACATTGAAAAGGTAACCCCGTCACGGTGGCAACCATATTTCACAGAGCCAACCAGATAAGAAATTAGGAACTGGTGCGCGCACACCGTATTTCTGCGTATCGGGCTGGCGCCCGAGTACAGTGCAAAGTGCAGTGATTATTACTGACGCGTACCGGATCGATGTCAGCCTCTTGTATCGTGTATTTACTTTGGTGCGCTTGCCCTGATATCAGTGCACCCTTACTAACATTTCTTTCCGGTCAGTTACTTTCGTAATTGACGATTTTACAACATATGACTAAGCTTGCTCAACAGGAAATGCCATATAACGATATCTAAAAAATTGCTTAAAAGACACCGCGCGTATATATAGTAACGTGACAGAGTAAATGTCAATACATTGTTTCACTTTTAAGCGACAATGTAGTGACAAATTTGAAGCTTGCTTAACCAGAATGGTCACATAACGCTATTCGAACATTATTTAGAAATTCCGTACATGTTTACAGTACGTGGCAGTAAGGATAGCCTTTTTAAGTAATTTTCAAATGACTTGTTTTTATAATTTGAACAATCGAAATGATAGAAGCAATATGTTGTTTATCTCGCTATCAATAGGTAGAGGTTCCGCTGACGCCGGCGCTATTCATTGACAGAAAGTTATGGGCTTCAGGAGCGGATGTATTAGGCAATTAATTTATTTCACGGTGTTGCGTCACATTCGCGCGCTATTAATGCAACCGGTGCCCGCAATATCGTCGTGACAACTGTGAAACTCCGCCATTTTGACCTTACCGAAGGATATCTGCTATCTACTTGGTAGTGTGCGTGTTAAGTATACGCGGGTTTCGACACGCGCTACCGTGCCGACGCAATGCTTTACTAATTTCAAGCTCGCTGTTTCATCAGATACTCGTTCATTCAATAAAAGCGAATAGGGGACGCCAGAGCTCCAGCGTCTGTCAGTAGCCGTCGAGTTTCTGTTCGAATATCTGTTTAAAAAGTGCGTAATGATCGTTTCTTGATTGCCGGATGAAAATTAGTAATTAGTGTTTCAGCTGGTCATCGAATATCGCCACAAACTAGGTAGAGCCAAGTGAGGAATGATCTTTAGTTTTGCGCAAGTGCGTGGACGTCATAATGGCGCGATTTCGCGAATATCTAGAATCTAGATGGTCGACGTACTTATATGCCAATGACCAATCAAGTCGGATTTCTGAGACGTGCCCCAATTGTTCGCTTTCAAGGTTACCCGCCAATTTCGTATTCGGCGATTGTAATGAGTTCAACGAAACTACACGTCATTAGGAAATAATATGACCCCCAACCTGTAACTTTTCTCAATTTTAAACTCGACGAAGCTTAACAATGTACATATATTAGGAAACACTTTATGTTGTTCACATCTTCTCGAAGTTCTGAGCATACGTACTAATTGTTATTTAATACTAATTATTCGAAAGATTGTATTCGGTTCACTTTCCTTTTTTCTTCTTCTTTTTTTTTAAATATTTTACATGTTTATCATATCAAACTTTTCATCCTTTTGTTTTTTACATTGTTTACTTTTTTATATAATAATGTACGAGTGACACTAGGTCCAATTTAGTTTTTATTTCGGAATGCAACGCTATCTAGAACATTTTTAAACGACAACGATAGGTATTATTTACCAGTGTTAAATAAATTATTTAGATACACGATATCTAACAAACGGTATCTTTATCGTTCGAAATGCGTGGCCAGGAGTATAAATAACGATATGTAGGTTTGTTGAATGGAGAGTTGAAATTCATAAGTTAATAATAAACTGCAGTGGAATTTCATGATTTAAGATTAATGTAACGTGTGTGTTGAGACATTTGGTATCGAATACGTATAAATAGTCGCCAAAATGAGGTAATACACGGTGTCTGCATGTTATAGACGGTACGCAACAAGGTGCGAATAAACCCGATGGATGGTCGATAAAAATTCGGTGTTACATTACCGACATTAATAACGCCCGAGGATGCTGTTGCATCACGTTTCAGAATTTTTCTGCGACCCGGCTTCCTCGGCTGGGTAGAACGTTACGGTGCGGCGCAACGACCGCCTTACAGCGATATCCCTGACCTTACGGTGTCCCCTTCTCCATAGAAATTGCGCACAAGGCAGGACGAATGTCGAAACGTACTCTTTTGAAATTGTCCGTGAATCACATAGAGTTAATGGATGGAACTCTTGTCATTTCAGTCCCATTATGTACACACGCTAACTGACTTCGGCACGTTACGCCCGTCGGAATGTGTCAATGCGCTTTGTCTCTGTGGAGCAACGAGTCATTTCTGTGCCGAAAATGTTCCCATCGCATGCATTGTTTCCATTCTTAAAAATGATATTTAAGAACTTATATAAACGTTGATATTCCTTATCGGTGGACGATACTGCAATGATGTAATCATGTAATACGTATATGTAAAGTGACGCAGGATGTTACCTAAAACTATACGTGATAAAGAAATCGAGATATATGTGAAATTTATTACTTGTCCCTCTAGTGACACTTATTCGAATAAACTTTTTGGCTCTACATCTAACTTTCGAAAAGCGTTTTAGAACCTTTTCACACGGAGATAACTAAACTGTGGATGATGATGTGAATAGATGTTTGTTTATTTCGTTAATTGTTGTAACAAGTTGAAAATAGTCTTTTCAATATTTTTACTGTTTTATCGCAATTTAGAGACAACCTGCAAGAATAAGTGATCGATACAAAAAGAAACGCTATATCTCGTTCCCGGATATACATATACATATACTTACTATACGCGTATCTCCGTGTGAGAACACTCTTAAACTCTTACAAGAAACAATTGATAATAGTATTTTAGTAATGTATTGTTTTTTTTGTGCGTGTTGCAGAGCTTTTGCTAAAACGTGACCGATTGTCACCCACGAAGATCTCCGTCCAAGGACCCAAAGGTAGCGCGAAGCAACTTCGCGTGGGCCCTCGCACAAAGTGATATTCTTAACTAGAATTAATTCGTACGTATACAAGACACGCGTTTCGTACCCGTAGAGTTTACCAACGTCAAATTGACCCGTTAGAAATCGATAACCGCAGGCTACCACAGTTTGGTAATCTCATGACGCGGAAGTGTGTTCAAGGTTTTTCTGCTTTTATGGTCAAACGACAATATTGCGGATTGTAAAATCGCTCGTGAATGACACGTGTTCATTGCACGAACAAGAGGAAAGAAAAACGATTCGCAAAATCACGCAACGGAGGATATACCGAGTGCGAACGCATACGATAGTGTAGTGTGAAACGGTGCGCGTGTGAAACCGGCACAATATGAGAGTGACAGCCGCTACCAGGCAGCATCCTCTTCATCTGCAAGTGACTCGTACCAACAATGGAAAGTTCCTGGTTAGTCCGAACAATAGTCAGGACATCAGTCAGCAGCCGACGAACGACGAAGCGAACTCGGTGCCGCCAGTTGTCTTCCCTAGTTACGAACCGCTGCCTACCGATCATCATGGACCCGCCATACTTGGCGATCGGTATCTGCTTCTTGGCCCGGCCGAGGGTAGCGCTCTGTATCGATGCGTCGACGTGCACAGTGGTCAACAGCTCGTCGCGAAGGTGAATTTTCTATTTTTTAAACATCTTCAAACCACCATCCCGATCTTCTAATCCATAATCTATTAACTTTTGAAAGAACTTCGCACAGTAATGCCTCCATGAAACACACCATGACATCAACGTTGAACCACACTGCCTCAGAGCGGTTTGGATTGAAGGATTTAGCGACGTTTTGATATAAATTTTGAACTACGAAAGAGTATCGCAATCAAATTTTCACTGAGAAATATTAAAAAATGATTACTTTTTTCATACACGCAATGTAATATATTTTGTGTTTATTATTGTGTATATATATATGCACCTAGTTCTTAAAATTGCAATGAAATAATTTAGTCATTTATGTATGAAAAGATCAATATTATTCTTATAATGTAAACAATTCGTGGAAAGAGTTTCTTATTATTAATATCTTAACGCAAACACTAATGCAAAAAGGACACTACTGCCTAATAAAGCATTTGTAATTATTTGAAACTACAAATATATTCAAATGTGGCAAACGATCGCGACCCTCATCAATTCATTAAGTATCATTTTTTAAGTCATTTATAGACAAAATAACTTCGTTAGGACATCACGATAAAAAAGGCCAGATTTTTTAGATGAAAAGTATGAATGTCTTACATTCTTCGATCCGAATCATCGTATGCCAGCGTGACGCACCCAGCGAAACTATTTCGGTTGTACTTTAGAAACGCAAGGTTAACTCATAACTCTTTTCAATGCTATCCATTGGTCAAAAGTTCGTTCTGTCAGGTGGAATTATTCAATTTTCTTCGACGTGTTTACTGGTTAAATTCAATCAAGAAATATTTGCAAAACTCGGCTCGTAATGAGCTTCCTTTTTTTTTTACTTTAACCATTTAAATGCAGATTAGAACTTTATAAGTATTAATGCTAGAGCAAAAGATCCCTTTGTACCTGAAAATGAGCGTATTTTTCCAAATTTACACATGTGTAGTTTTTGAAAGGAGAGTATGGTTTTCCATTTGTTTGTTATACAATCGTGGCATAGGTAAAGGTTCGTTAGAAATAATACAATGAATTTTCGAAGCGTAAAAAACAGCAGAACATCGTAAGCCAGATGTCTCTTCAGTTGTCTAAGAAAAATAGGAACTAGCGATGTCGAAACGTTTCGTATTTATCCTTGATAAAGCAAACGCATCCCGCCTCCAGGATATGTGTCACGTAAGACTCGGAGGCAGGTGTGCAAGAACATATCCAATATAAGTTCTACACGTTGTATCGATGAAAATCACCTTTCTAAACTGTAGCCTGCAGGCTTCTCGTTCCGTATTCAGGTCGAACGGGAATGGTTCACGCGTTATCGGACGATGCCACTGATACGCGTTAACCCCGGCTGGCGAAAAATTGGTCTGCTTTATTTTCCGCCGAGCGATATATATTATTACTTGTTTGTGATAATTCGTGGTCTTACACCCAATGTTACGCATAAACATGTATTTACAAACATTTTTATGTGCACGTGCACGTTGGCATAATCGTTTAGCCTCACAGCCTTGACAGGTGGTCTATCTTGACTTGACCTAGCCTTTCAAGGGCCTCATCTGACACGTGATATGAAGAAAGATAATGCAAAATGACAAAAGATAATATCCACGAATGACGCGGTCCGCAGATTGAGAGACACTGATCTAGTTGTTTATGTCGTTGTGATCGGTGAAAATCGAGGGCCGCTTAATTGGATTTATAAGATATATTTGAAAATGTCGATAAACAACTATATCGAAGATCCACTTTTGAAGGTAAACGCTTTCGACTCCTGACTCGTTTGAAAACCGAAACGACTTTTTCGTGGCGTTACAGCACGTAAATAATGAAATTTGATGAGCATCTTTGAAAGGACGTCCGTAAAGAAATCTGAGAACCAGAAACGACGGTTTGAATACTTTTCAGAGCGTATCCCCCGACCGTAAACACAGTTACACTAGTTTGAAAAAAAGTAGCGGATCCCCTAGTATCATTCCAGTATTTCCTCTCGCGCAACCACCGACCGTTATTTCCACTGTCGCCGGTGTCGCAGCCCAGAATGATACAAACGTGTATGTCACTCTCCGAGAGAATTTTCTTGGAATATTGTTGCGTCAACCTTCACCGCATTTCTCGCAATTAAATCCCGTCGTTGTTGCATTTCTTACGCATGCGACTCCTTAACAACGCAAGCCTTGGATGTACAATGTTTACCTTCGAACGTTGAAGCTTGTTTTGAAAACGATATGAGAGAGCATTTTAAACAGTAGATATACTTTAAAAAAAGAATGAACATTTCTGCGTTAACATTTCGACAAACCCAAAACAGTCACGTTTCCAGATTGCCCGAGAGAATTATCGTTGAAAACCACTGCTTTCGTACAACACGTTGCAACGTCGTAACAGATCGCGCAGTCGTTACTTCCGCTATATAAAACCTTTCCTGAGGCTGTTGACGCAACTCGCTACCATGTTTCGAAGTAATTTATTTGAGGTTTTCGTGCATTTCGTTACGCGGCTAATCTTCCGGGTAGCAATTGCGCGTTTTTAGTAAGAAACGGGGAAACACGATACTAAAATTTTCAATTGTCGTACTTGTCGTGTTAGAAAACCGTCTTAACTATTTATATTTCATTGAAACAAAGCGTTGAAATATGAACTTGCAGGTCTGACAAGGTTTCTTGCTGCGTGTTATAGCTGTGAAAAACAATCGAGCACTCCTAAAAACAATTCGAAAGAAGTATAATTAACTGTTATTACAACTTGACACGGTGCGCAGTTCTAGAACGAGACACGTCGAGGTGCAATGATTTACTAATGTCAATGGAAGCTCTTTCGAACTAATTGCATTTGTCCTCGGGACGCGTTTTTCACGACGATAGAATTGGATCATAATTGTCGCAGTTCACCCACGGATCACTTCAATTCTTAACTCGCAGAACAGGATTAAAAAACTGGTCGTTGTTTCGTAACGTGGCAGCTAATCAAGGTAGAAGATTACATGCTGAAAACATTTTCTTTTCCTAAGCCTTTCTTTACTATTGAGAAGTTTTAACTTTGCTAAATCCATTTTCAATGCGCATGCGTGTGTAAATAGGCCTGCTATTAGCATACGTATAGTCCCAGAACTTCATCCAGTGCGCATGCGTACACAGATTGCGTATCACGTAGATTCAGGACGACACAGTTGATTTAGATGTCATCAGCGACATCTTACGGACATGTACTTTTTCATGTCTTGATAAAATAGATGCAGAATTCGGTTGAATCTCTGAAAACAACCAGTTACATATGTGACATGATAAAAATCATTTTTCTTTTACTAATATTTAGTTTATGAAAAGTGCGAGAATATTTGTAACGACCAGGGCACAGAATAGAGATATCAATTTACAGGTGCGGTAACACATGTAGGTGCAAAATTTCAAGGTCGCGAACATAAAATATTCCAGCAGGAGAAATATTTCCGTTTCTTCTACGAATATATTGCAATCATACTTGAGGTAGTTGATAAACAATTGCATTTTAATTTATTAGAAATACGCCGTTATTCACAACGAACCGTTGTTATTTATCTCATTAACGAACAATATTTATGTAACAACACGGAAGTTTTCTATGACTCCGCCCAACATGTTCGTATTACAGTGATCGTACTTCATGCTGCAATGCGGATGTCTGCAAAGTTGATGCACATCGTAAACGAATCGGAACACAGTCAGACGAGCATTATAGTTTTCCGTGGCGTTGTTCGTGATAATGTTATCTTCTCGAGAAGAAATGCACGACCGGAATCCGTGGAAATCTAGTTAACAATTAAATGCCATCGGTTCGTTAGATTCTATGGCGCCAAACAGCGCGGCGGTCGCGCGTGCGCGCGAGGTTGCGCGCGCGTTCTCACCCGTGACAGCTGCTGCTGCTGCCGCGTTTCCATTAACATTTTACAATCATCACGTTATACAATGTATCGCTTACATCACCGGCTCGTGAACAAATACAAGGCTGCACCTTGCCTCACCTCTTCTTTGCCCATATCGCCGTTATTCATAATCACTTCTAAAGCCAGGGCCGTTTAATTTAATTGACGATTACCTCGTTGCGTGACACGTTTTCGCAATGGCGGCGCGCGCCGATCCGGATCGAAGAGTTTAATGACATTCCGCAGAAAAACGGCAATTAGAGCCTGTGTCATTTCATTTTGCTTTTGATACTACTTCTTCCATTCGATTGATCGATTTCGATGGATGCTTCGTTTGGATCATTTTCCTACGTAGAATATAAGGAACAGATAAAGCGAAGTCATTGGCATAACCAATACAGTATCTGCCCGATAAGGAATGCAATATTATCGTTTTGGAAGCTTAAGATGTTAAGGTATTAACACGTAGAAAATAAGTGACGAAGTCGAAAGCTGTTGTGCAAAATTTTCTTCGTATCGACGTCGCGTAATTCATTTCTGGTTAGTACGAAGAATTTAGTAGCCTCAAACCTTGCTGGTCTGGGGAGAAGTTAGAGAGCACGCCATCTTTAAAAAATTGATTTTCTTTAGGACGCATGATTTTAGAGTATTTCGACGCAAGTTCGATACTAATATGTACTCTGTCATAAAAAGCAGATTGATTCTAGGAAGTAGTTTCGTATAAAAAGTTTATTAAATTTGCGGTTTACTTAAATCGCGTGCCCTCTTAATTTTCTGTCCCGGGTTTACGATTCGCTCGAGGTCTTAGGATTTTCGGGTCGTACACTACGAAAACCCATAAATCGCGCGGCGCCCGACTGGCAGAAGGCGTATAGTTGGCGCAATCGAAAGGCAAATTTGAAAGACCTTGCGAAAAACCATTGCGTTATTCTTCTGTCGAAAGACCGCGAGGCAATTAAAACGTGATTTTTTTTCCGCAATAAAGAGACAGCGGAAACATCGATTTTTAACGAAGTATTTCAACCATTCAACACTTATGCTTCGTACCAATAACCGATTCTTATTTAGTTCGTTGCGTTCAAATTTTTCGTTCCTTCGTTGTTACACTCTTAAAGTTAACTTTCTGACAATTATTTGGTCCCCAGGCTATGAACAATTGTAGAACATAATTAAATCTAACAACAATACTTCAATCGGAAGGAGGTAGTAGAAAAACCGCTAAAATATTACGCCAGTAAGAAGAAATGAAATCAACGTTAAGAAATACGATGTGACGATAGAGGGTTAAGAATTTTTCGTTGGTTTTGCTAGCCGATCAGCACCGGGGGCAAGATTTCGTAAAGAACGCACCGTGCCCTTATTAAACTAATGGGACCCCGGCTTTCGAAACCGTGACAGGTTTCGACACCGGAGATGAACGGTCGGACGAACAAAGTTTCAAAAGTAGCCAAGATTTCGTGTGTGCCCTCTTATCGAGGCGTCTGGTAAATCTGGTTTACGCGCTGCCTAACTTCTCCGTCCTTTGTTCGGGAGCCGGCGCGCACAATGTACACAGAAAAATTTCCCCGGATGCTGATCATCAACTTCTGATCGCTTGGTGACATCGCTTGATAATAAACGATAATGAAGAACGATGTTCGTGCGGTTATCAGACGGACGTTTTGCAACAGCTAAGCGGTTCTTGTTACTCGATGAAATTTATTAAGAAGATAAGCGAAACAATACACGAGGGATTGCAAAACGGTCGATGTTGAGGGAATTCTTCTAATAACGAACACAAGGTTCTTTTTAAACGAATAAGATTTTCAGCTTTATAAACTATACTGTATGTTTATATTTATATTATATATTTATATACAATACTTGGTAAAGATTAGAGGAAAGCGAATCAATTAATGCTACTTAATAATTACATTTAGGAATAATACATTCAAGTTTTATTGTCCTATTCTTGGCATTTTTCATCATTATACTACAGTCAAGAATGCATTTTAAGATCTGTACTCTTTTTTATAGTTTCGTGGATCTTTTTACTGTTATTAGTGTTTTGATGGGTTAAATCTGTTCACTATGTTTCAAGCGTTCAGGTATAAAATTAGATTTTCAAGTGTGTAAAGTTGGGTGGATTTCTCGTGTATCGAAAGAAGAAAAATGAAGATGCGATCGTCGTCTACGAGACGAGTTGCGAAGGGCAAAGTAGTCGAGTCAGGGGTCCGGATATTTGTATTGTCCGTTGGTTGCGGATGTCCGTATTAACCGGTCAATACCAACCTACAATTATTCAGCACAATGGCAGATATTGTGCTCGTTATTGAGAATGTCCACGTGATTCGCGCTCCTTAAAAGGATGCGCGTAGAAACTAGTTTCGCAAGTATACATACATACTTCACAGCTGGGGCTACCCTCTGTCGACGGGGATTGCTGGCAGCAATCTACGAGAGGGTCCCAGCGATTAGAATCAATGGGACACGCAAACCGTCTCGAGACATCTTGAGTTGAACAATTTTTATAGGCGATCCAAAACGGTCCTTGCTGAACGATTCAAAATGTTTAGAGTTGATTGGAAGATTTTGTCTTTAAAAAGTCGTCGCCAAAGTTGTCACAGAATATTATTTTCTCTATCTGAATGATACAGAGTTAAACGATGTTGTGTAGCTCTATCGTTTTTCAATATTAAGTAACTAAATATTACTCAACTAAATATTTTCTATAAATATATTATATATTTTTGCTAATTTCTTACAGGAGACAAAATCGTCAGAGTCTCCTATTTTTTGAGGCTTTCAAAGCTGCACACCTTCTCAATAATCGAAGTAGATTTTCTTGATTGACTGCATTTGACAGTAAGGCAAAACGCCGCAAGTCCTATGTTTTTACTTTTTAGATATTGTCGAGAATTGCATTATCTTTGTAGAATTTGTTTTCATGGTTTTTTTTTTACCGATGAGTACGTAAATCTTACTTAGCTCAATTAATATATACACTGAAATTTAAACAAAAAATTAGGACAGCGGCGTTTTTCCGTTTAGCCAAAGATACATTTCTGGAACAATTGCTGCCGTAGATCAGGCGAACCGTGGGAGAGCATTGATTTGAGATCGGTGAACCAGCGAATTGGAAATTCGTCCTCCCTCCTGGAACTGTTTCCCAATCCCTATCCAGTTTGTCCGGCGTACACGCACGGCGGATTGACGCAACGGTTTTCCTGAATTTCAGGCGTTGACTGTGGGCGACAAAGGTTGCGAGGCGCTGTTACAAGCTCACCTTCGATTAGAAGGCACCGGAGCGGCGAGCGGCGTGGCTGGCGTAGTGGAAGCATCTGGAGGTCGACGCTATCTCCTGCTGGAGGGCCACCACGGTGACCTGCACGCCTACGTAAGGGCACGCAGGAGGCTGCGAGAACCGGAGGCGAGGCGACTCTTCCGGCAGGCGGCCAGGGCCGTAGCTACGTGCCACGAGTACGGTGTGGTGCTCCGAGACCTGAAGCTCAGGAAGTTTGTTTTTGCCGACGAAGCAAGGTGAGCACTCGGATAAACCAATCCGTGACGAACACCGCCAGTAATGAGGTTCAACTCGAAACTAACTGACGACCTCTCTCCTCTGCATGCGTTTCCATGGAGCACGCTAAAGTAACAGAGTTCCTACAGCGGGCTTTTAAGTACATTTTGACGATACACGACAAATCGTAATAGTAATAACGTGTAGGTGAGAGTACAGACACGCTTTGTTGCTTTAGTGATCTCCAGGTGACCGGTGCTGGAATATAACCCTGGTCTCAAAGACCTGGACACAGACCCTTGCTATCCTCTCCATTCCCATTCAACTTTATACAACAGCAATATTGTGATGCTCTTGTTCAATAGATGGATAGATAATTGAGCGACGAAGGTGAAATTATAAGGGAACGTACATTCAAACATGAGGAAGAGAGAATAGGTGCTATCTGTGCAAAGACAAAATTGCGGATCGCTTGTTCAACACTCTGTAAACTGATACATAGTTAGGAAAGTAAAGTTATAGGGAAACGTACGTTCGAACATGAGAAATAGATTAAGGGATCTTACTATTGTAACAATTTAAAGATCGGGTAAAGTTCAGTGATTTTATTGGAGCAACTATACAGTGCTGACTAAAAATATGTATTCAACTTGTATATAATTTTTATATTAAAAAGTAATTTCTTTAATGTACACGTAGAAACACATACAAAACAGTCTATATTCTGTATAGTTTTTTTTGTAATGAAAAGATCGCTGAATTTTAGCTAATTTTTAATCCCTCGAAGAACACGTGTTCGTATTTCGCCGCTAAAACCAAGTAGCATAATCGGATGAAATGGATACAGAATGTAAATTGCGATGAAGGGCGGGGGTACATTAAGGTGACAAACCAACCGCTAATTTGACATGACTGTTAACGATACTCGGTACGCCCACGTATCGTCTGCGGCATTCTTCGAGCGAGTGAGAGGAACCGCGCTACAGAGAGCCATGGAGAACCAGTTCGTATTCGTTCCATTTCCATATTCGCCTGTAATTCTTTCGCACCATCGGCTATGGAAGGTGTAGGTATCTCGGAAAAGAAGTACTTCCACACCTACATAAATTAACTTCCCCTTCACTCGACGTCGCACAATGTGTAACCCACCCACGTTCTATAGAGTCCGTTCCACATTTTCTGCTTTTATTTTCATTCGATTATTTATTGCAATTAGTGGCTCGAAACGTTCGCCGACGGTGTTGCGTATCTCTCTATCATCGCAACTCTGTAAACGGAGAATGACTTCATTAGATCGGATTTCCCCGTTCGACTTCTCTTAGCGTCATCGGTTAACAATCACCTTAACACTGTCCAGAGCAGCGGCCTTCAATATTCGTCAACCTTATGATTATAAATCATTTTTGCAGAACGCTTATTATCCATGGAAAAGAAATCGAACGATTAGCGGAATACATGTCACATTGTGTACGATTTCCGTGGAATGTTGAATAGCTGAAATGAAATAAGTTTAATTAACTGGACCCAACTCTCTTTGACTCAAAATGTCGAAATAACCCGGATCTATTGATGTTGTCATTGTATTAAATATATCTGATGGAACAAAATTCAACGTGGACGGTGTGTATGTTCTTAAACACAATTTTACTACACAGTGATAACAAGTATTCGTAGAATTGGAAGGAACTGCTACGAACGGATCGTTTAAATACGGCTTGAAGGCCACTGGTCCAGGTGTTGAATAGCTAAATGCCAGCCATTCAAGTACCAAAGAGAAAATTAATTAGCAAATGCAAAATTCATTTGCACTCGACGCGCAGATGTGCCGAACTCTGGACCACCCTTGTTCTTGAGTGGCTGCGCGCCGATACCAAACGCCTCTGGCATTCAATTTTTAATCGCCCGCTTCCGGCGCTAACAACGAGGAAACAGTTCATGAAAGTAATCAACGCTTCAATGGAATACTTGTTGGACGCAAGCGCGAGCTTCCACACGGTGCAAGGAAGTCGATCCTCGCGTCGTAAGCGTCTCGTCTCAGCTGGCGGGCAACGCAGCGTCAAGAATGAATTCAAGGAACGAGCGGATCGCGACAGGCCAGACCATGCCGAGAGCCACGCCACGTCGAACAATTCGCTAGGCGTGTTTGCGGCCGAACGTGACGGTTCGCTCGACGCACCCACTTTGCGCTCCTCGTGTATTTTGGGCCTCGAAGTTCCCTGAAACGTAGTAGACGCAATGGCAGAAACCATAGGATCACAGTAAATTCTCCCCAATTATCCTCCAACTTGTAAACAAAAATGAACGATTTGGGAAAAGGAGATACGATTATTCCAGTATCGCGGCTCGTTTTGTTAATAGTCGCCGTGTGTCAATAACTATAAAAGCGAGCCGTGAGGCTCGAATAAACATTTCGCCTCTTTCCAAATCGTTCATTTCTGTTTACAAGCAGAGAGACAATTGGAGAGAATTTACTGTATTTATTTCTTCGTTGATGAACACGAGGCGCTTCTAGAGTAAAAAGCTAAATGAGGGTTGATTAAACTGAATCCTGAGGAGGTGAACAAAATCATGGGATTGTGATAATTGCAGGGGTTGAATAGAATAATGAAATACCTTACGAAGTGCCGCTATGGAGATTCTTCATTAATTCAAGATACCCACGGTATTTAACGCGAATTATATTCTTCTGGAATATGTAGAATGAATTCAGAGCATTAGAGTTTAATTCCTTACTTGAACTTGAGGGGTGATTTTGAGGTTACACTTCTAACATTCTAAAATTGTGGGACTGAATTTCCTAAGCGTAGAAAGGGTGCAACAACCAATTTTTTAACACTAGATTGCCGAATGTTGGGTATATACTTATTTTACCTGAAATGAGTCAATTTGACTCAAACATCAAAATTTTACATCAAAATATCTTTTAAAAAAAAATTTTGTTTTAAAGAAACTTTATTCAAAACAATTTTTACATATATATTCTGTTTTTAAAATACATTTTCCGCAGATATTTTTATTACATTTAGCACAGACGCCCTTACTTCTATTTCTTTTGCATCATACTTGAATTTGACAATTCAACTGTTTTCCAATATACTGGTCATAGTTATTTAGTTCTTCAGCCAATGGTAAAATAAATTCTTTTCTTAAGACTTGAGTGACCTCTTTATATAAAACCCAAGCATTGATTGCTGCTAAATCTAAGATATTGTAGAATATCAACTTTAAAAATATTTAATGAGTCAATTTGACTCACATCCGTCAAAATAGGTATAGCACATATAAATCTTTGGAACTAAGGAGTGGAGAGGAGAATGGAATTAGTATTTGTATATGTTATTTAAAAAATTATTTAAGTTCTTCTATATACAGGGTATTCCGAAAATGTCTCGTAATCCGGAAATGGGAAGTTCCTGAGGTTATTTGAAGTAACTTTTTCCTTAGCGAAAATGCAATTCGCGGCTTTGTTTACGATTTATTAACGAGAAACAGTGACCAATGAGAGGCGATATCAGCTGGCGCGATCCAATGAGCAGAACTGGGCTTCATGCGCTCGTTGGCTGGGCTGCTTCGCGCCAGCTAATCCTTCATTGGTCACTGTTTTTCATTAATAACTCGTAAACAAAGAAAAAAGTTACTTCAAATGACCTCAGGAACTCTCCATTTCCCAATCGCGAGGCATTTTTGATAAAAAAAACTATCTCAAATACATTCATATTCATAATATCTGTTCACTCATAGTGTTTTACGCATAGGAGTGGTATGGACAGTTATTGCAGTATGAGCGCATTTCAGGTGTACGCCTTAATATATATAAAATTACCCAAAGAACCAGAGACCTATAATTTGAAGCCACGTCGATACAAGATGTAACGAATCCCCGAATCTTGTCAAAACAAACGGAGTTGTAGCAACGAACGCGACTGAAAAAAAAAGAAGTGTTGTAGAACGACTGATAGAGTCAGTGACGAAACGGTGCACACTGTAGAACCGCGGGAGGAGAGTCGTTGCTGGTTCACGTGCGTGCTCTTTGGTACTGGCGTGTAGTCTGCACGCCTCGATAAAAGCACCGAGAACGAGCCAGACCAAGAAACTCTCGTGCGAGTCGTGTCGTCGGTTCTGTGTGTTGGCCAATCGCGTCTTGCGCTCGCATTCCTGCCGCTCAGTGAACTGCTCCCGCGCGTAGAATAACGAGAAGCGAGAAGGAAAGATCACCGTGATACCGGGAGGGGACACGCGGGGAGGGGGAGGGGCACTGGGAATGTTGCAAGCCAGAAAAGCATATTGGTTCATCGGCTTGGGAGATTTTGAAATGCTGGTATAATTAGGAAACGCGTGGTTTGTTCCACCTCCCAGATCTCGAGTCCAGATTCGATTGCGTTACAGACCGTGTGTTTTATTTTATTTCTCGTCTTTTCCTCTCTTTTTCGATCAGGCTTTATCGTTCACTTGAACCGCCGAATATCTCGCAGCAGATCCGAATATATTATTTCCAAATTCGGTGTTCAAATATGCCACNTTCGCGGCTTTGTTTACGATTTATTAACGAGAAACAGTGACCAATGAGAGGCGATATCAGCTGGCGCGATCCAATGAGCAGAACTGGGCTTCATGCGCTCGTTGGCTGGGCTGCTTCGCGCCAGCTAATCCTTCATTGGTCACTGTTTTTCATTAATAACTCGTAAACAAAGAAAAAAGTTACTTCAAATGACCTCAGGAACTCTCCATTTCCCAATCGCGAGGCATTTTTGATAAAAAAAACTATCTCAAATACATTCATATTCATAATATCTGTTCACTCATAGTGTTTTACGCATAGGAGTGGTATGGACAGTTATTGCAGTATGAGCGCATTTCAGGTGTACGCCTTAATATATATAAAATTACCCAAAGAACCAGAGACCTATAATTTGAAGCCACGTCGATACAAGATGTAACGAATCCCCGAATCTTGTCAAAACAAACGGAGTTGTAGCAACGAACGCGACTGAAAAAAAAAGAAGTGTTGTAGAACGACTGA